AGCCATTCCCCACTTTCTGTGAATGGTACTCATGGCCATTGATCAATAGGCTTTGATTAGTTGTCATTGATCAATGGTCATAAGAATTTGCATACTAACAATCATGGAATTAACCCCCCGGCACATTGTTCATTCAGTGGCGCTAGTTTCCTTCACTATGCAAATGTACTGTTTATATGGTTGGGGAAACCTGCAGTCAGCTGAGACTGAAGAAGTCACTTGGATAAGTGACGAAACGTTTCTCCAACTGAAAATGTCCAGATGAACAGAATCAACCTTTTGGGATTTACTTACCTGGATGATTAAGCACGCATCAAGACGTTATTTTATTAAACATTTTAAAATTTTAGCAGCACAAACCAGCACAAACGTGGCACAGTTGATTGACACCCATTTTGTTTGATTTAATTAATGTGGGGGGGCTGGTTGACCTCTGATGACCTCTAGAAATTGTTATTAATATCTTTAAAATGATAGCAGCACAAACGAAAATCTTTGCAGCACAAACCAGCACAAACGTAGCACAAACGTTTGATACCACTTTTGTTGGATTTGGGTAATGTGGGGGGGCTGGTTGACCTTTTCATTTTCATTAATATCTCGGAAACAGAAGCAGCACAAACGCTAATTTTACCTGCACAAATCTGCACAAACGTAGCACTAAAAAAGTAGACCATTTTGGCCCGTTTTGGAGCAGTCTGGGGGGATGGTGACCTTTGAATGACCTATAAAATAAAGTTTAATATCTCGGAAACCGTAGCAGCACAAACGCTAATTTTACCTGCACAAATCTGCACAAACGTAGCACTAACCGCTCCGCCTGTTTGCCTTTACGTTTCAAGTGGGTGGGGGGTCAGCTTCACTCTGCTTGTTTTCTGTCGCTTTCCACATGTGGAAGGACATTAAAGCCAACTTTTAAATTCCCCTCATTAGTCAATAGCTACAGATTAAATAGCAAAGCCCGATACTTATGTACTGAAACCAACTACTTCCGCTTGTCAGCTTAAGTTAAAATGTAACATTTTTCCCCTGATTATTTTTTTTAGCTTTTTTTTTTTTTTTTTTTTTTTTTTGAGTTTGTTACAAATATTCAGGTTAAAAAACTGTCCAAATTATTTTTAATGAATTATGTTCACAAAGTCACATGTGCAGTACTCTGTACAGCTTGCATCCTTTAGGACAAATAATTTGAAACATATTAATATTTCTTGTTCAATACTGAGCTGATAACACCTCTGTATGTTGTGACCAGGATGCAGCAGCAGACTGAACCTCGACTGAAACCTGCTCCATCATCTCATCTTTGCAGATGTCCATTTATAAAGCATCAACAACTCAAAGGTAAACATGATATTAGAAAATGTGTTAGTAAAGCCTTTAAAACAAATAAAAAAATAAACAGCTGTCGGCAGAACTGTAGGACTGAACAACTTCAGATCCCGAGTAGGATCAGCTGTATTTCAGATTTGAGAGATAAACTTTATATTTCAGTTTGTGATGATTCTGTTCTGTTTGTGGTTACAGGAGCTGTCCTCAGATTCAGACCTCAGCACCACCCAGTGACAGCAGACAGATCATCCTATATCTTCAATCTTTGTAGTAACTCCAAAATTAACTGAAGAAAACAGTACAAAGGTTAAAGTACCACATGTGCTGTCAGTGAAAGCTGCAGCTGTTTTATTGATCAATTTAAAGACAAAAAGTCACAAGGATCAATCACCCCTGTAACTGTGTCACTATACATCAGCATTAACAGTACCTCAGTTTGGTGTTTCAGAAAACTGCTGATCTCAGACCTGCACAACTTCTGTTTTAAACACTGAATGTACTCAGCTACATGAAGAGCACATGATGTTTTCTCTGACACAATTAAATAAAACCTGATTAAAGTCAAAGGTTGTTACTTGTATTTGAACTAAAAACTTGTGATCTGGAATTCTTTCACTGTTTTTTGACAATAGTGTGTTATTTATCATAAAGTAATTCAGAGTCATTCATACCAGAGTAACCAGTGAGCACAACATATTTAACTTTCTACAGGACTTAAAGCTATTACTATAGCTTATAGCTATTACTTAACTGCACTACTGTATAGTTCTGTGTAAATAATCATTCTGTACATATGATTTTTAATCCTACAACTGTTTATAATTTGTATAGTTCACATTTCTGTATAACTGTATATCTCAGATTTCTGTAGTTTTTCATATTTATATCCTGTACATAGTTTGTGCTCACTACAGCCTGTACATACTTATAGTTATAGAATATTCACAACATACTTCATACCGTGTACATTGTAACGTACCATAATAGACCCATTTCTGTAATATACTTACATATCTATACTATTGCTAATATATATTGTAATATATCTATATCATGGCTAAAGCACTTCTGGATGGATGCAAACTGCATTTCGTTGCCCTGTACCTGTGCATGTGCAATGACAACAAAGTTGAATTCTATTCTATTATATTATGTAAAAGTCCAGACCCTCTGAGGATTATCTGAGTACTTCTAACATTACACAAAGCAAAGGTCTCCATCAGTGTTCATGAAATGCTGGGTTTATCCTTCTTGTGAGGGAGCTGCTGGTGAAGATCACGAGCCCTGCTTGATCCTGGCGACGAGTTTCAATCTTCCTGGTGTTTCTGAAATGATGCCTCCCACTGTGGGTCAACAGAACTTCTGGCACAGGACAGCTGTAATGAAAGAAATTGAAGTTTTGGAAAAAAAAAAAATCTTGGAAATGCCCTAAATGTGAGAAGCAGATTTTGTATTTACTTTTCTTTTGCCAATCAAGATAAAGTATAATTTTCACCATAAAATTACTAACCTTGTCATCTCCTGCACTGTCTGTTTTGGGCTCTGGGCTTGTCCTTCCCAGCGCTCATGAGACTGCTTTGCTGCACTGTGGTATGAGGTGCTAACCTGTTGACAGTGTTGGGAAGGTTAATTTTGAAATGTATTTCACCAAAGATTATAGAAGTAATGTATTCTGAATACTTTACAACTACATGAATGTACTATTGCTGTGTGATTTATTACTATTACTGAAGGCTACTCGCCATACCAACACCAACTAGATGTTAAAATCTTAATATAAATGAGTAACAGTAGGTGGACATTAGGTAAGGCTGCAGCGATCTCATATATAAAACTATTCCGCGCGTATATAAAACAGGTCAGCGGCTCCGAACCGTAGTAAAGGGACCTCTGGCTAATACCTCCGGTTCGTGTCAGGCTCGTAGCTGAAAACTAGCTTTACTTTGTTGTCTGGGTCAAGTTTGCTAGCGAGAGACAGAGAGGCGTTGAAAGGCTGCTTATTGTTTCGGAGGAAAACATGAACATGGTGTACAGTCGAGTCTTAACAGCTTACTTACAGCTGGGCTCGTCAGGCACTCTTTTTGGCTTTAGTGGTTATTATTATATTTACATGCTTCCAGCTCCCGTTTCTGCTCCGTAACAGCTCGTACTTTTCCTTTCTCTCCCTCCCTCGCTCACAGACACATAACGGGTATGGCAGTCCATTCTCCCTGCAGCACGGACTACACTGCCCATGAGGCTACATTGTTTAGGGCGATGCCTGTAACACTCTGCTATTGCCTTCATATTAAATCATTTTTGTATAATAATTTTTAGAGGCTCTTATTGCGTGTTTTGTTTGGGTTTCCACCGGTGTGGAATTACCAAAAATAGAGAGACCATAGCCTAACATATGAAACAGGTAAATACCGCCATGTAATCCATTTATTTCAACAAACTAACTGTATTCTCAATATCACCTATTGAACAGTAATTGTAACGGATACATTCTCATATTTTGTATTTTAAATACGTAACGCCGGTGCATGTATTATGTTACTGCCCAACACTGCCTGTTGAGATCCTGAGATCCGCTCCTAGAACACCGGCCTCCAACTCCTGAAGAGACACGGGTGTCCCTAAATTGAGCAAATATTAGCTTCAGGCTAGCTTGCTACGACGAATAGGCTAATACCAGCATTTTACCACAACTTCACCAGATGTAGCTAAAAAAACTAAACTAATGTCCAGCCCAGTGGGACAGCAAGAAAAGATGACAAAAAATGATTACTTACTTGCGGTTTGGAGGTTCAAGCTGAAATTGAAGCAGCCATTGAAAGACGGGAAGAGAGAAAGATGGCCGCTTGGTCAGCACTAGTGGCCTCTATAATTTATGCAAATACATGCGGGCCGGAAACCCCCCCCCCCCCCAGCGCGCCCCCGGACGCCAAAACAGTGCCAGCAGATTGAAACTGAAAAATGGATTGAAACCGAAAAATCGTCATTTGCACTTAGAAACATATAATCATATATGCTTAGAGGTATATAATCGTTTCCATATTGATAGAATGTCTCATCCTTAGTAGGTCTTTAAGACTCTGTGTACCATGAGATGGTAGGACGTACACTTCTTTTCCTGAGTGTTCTGGCATACCTCACACACATCCTAAGGTCATAAGAGAGATTGTATCTTCTCTCTCTGATATATAAAGTGTTGGTCAAGTTACTTGAAAAAAGTAATCAGTAACTAATTACTGATTACTTCCCCAAAAAAGTAATCCCGTTACTTTACTGATTACTTATTTTCAAAAGTAATTAATTGCTTAGTTACTTAGTTACTTTTTTTTTACTTTTTTACACTCGCTTACTTCACTGTCATAAGACCTTCTCGCAAAAAATCACGGTTTTAGTAACGCAGAGTTCCTACGGGAAAGTAACGGTAATCTAATTACCGTTTTTGCAATAGTAATCCCTTACTTTACGCGTTACTTGAAAAAAGTAATCGGATTACAGTAATGCGTTAACGCGTAACTGCCCATCTCTGGATATATGCTATGGCAAACACATCTGTATCTGTTTAAGTAAAAGAGGCTTTTGTTTAGGGGAACTGCTGCACTCTCTGGCCCAGCTATCTTGGGAATCATTCACAGGGTCATATTCCTTGTGAATAGATAAACCTAACAACTCCAAAAATGAGTCCAGTGATCATCAGAACAAGAAATGAAGAACTGGATACAGCTACTGCAAATAAGGAAAAAGAACTGTTAACTTTAATAAACTGAACTGAACTTAGAAGCTGTTTTAATGTAGGAAACCAGGAAGAGTTGCAGGAGGCTTTGATGTTAGTAATACAGTGAGGTACTACATGCCCAGCTTCCACAAAGAACCCGCTCTCACCCACTTTCCTCCTCCTGCAGGTGTTCACGGTGGAGGAAATGATGCCTCACCTGCAGGGCGTGAATGGCGCCGTCACCAAGAACCTGTTCCTAAAGGACAAGAAGAAGAAGGGGCTGTGGCTGGTGTCGGCCCGCCATGACCGCCAGGTCAGCTCCTCCACATGACCTCTGACTTAAAAACTAAAGACTAACACCTCACTTCCTCTCGTTCCATCTGCAGGTGAACCTTAATGACCTCGCCAAGAAGCTTGGTGTTGAGAGTGGAAATCTGTGCTTCGCAGATGAGGCAGCCATGTTGGAAAAGCTGAAGGTAGGGAGGATCAAAACGGGGAGGGCCAATTATTGAGCTGGATTCACAGGTCACAGCTTTAGACTCCTCCTCCCCTCTCCTTCAGGTGGGTCAGGGCTGTGCGACGGCTCTTGCACTGCTCTTCAATCAGGGTCACAGCGTGAAGTTAGTCTTGGACCGGGACCTGGTGGAAGGAGGCCACAAGATGGTCTACTTCCACCCGATGACCAACGCTGCCATCATGGGGCTCAGACCGGACGACCTGCTGTGCTTCCTCAAGGAGACGGGACACGAGCCAATCGTGAAGTGCTTCGAGTAAAACGGACACCCGGGCCTGGTTTAAAAGCGACGCGAGGGCGGTCCTGGTCGGGCTGAGAGCAGGATACGGCCGTCTGCCGCCGAGGATCTTGAGAAGCTTCATGCTAGGCTCTAAGTGTAAAAACAAACATTTTAAAAACGTGTTTGTGTGGAGCGATGAAAATCTGCAACCTGAACATTAAACAGCTTCTCATGACATCTGACGTTCACACGGACGAGCACACCGTTTGTCTTCTGTGCATCATTCGACGGTGGTGGTGGTCCTACTGCTCTTCACTAACAGCCTGTCATGTTTAGCAAAGTCTCCAAAATTAAAATTTATTCACTGAAATTTGACCCTGGATGTTATTTATTATCCTGCAAATGTAAAGCGAGAGAATAAAAAGCTTTGTCATCTCTGTTTGGTTTTAAATTAAGAGTTTATCAGAAATATGCTTTAATCTTTTGACCTTAACAAAAAGAAACAGCCTGTAAGAAGGTAAAACACGAGGGTCAAAGAGTTACTTATTTTAATAATTACACAGATAAGAATCAAGTTACATGGTTCTGACAGTATTTAAAGGGTTTGGTGAGTAACCAGGAGGCAAGCTAAGAATACGCTTTAATTTTCAAGCACTATTTTCTGAATGCCAACAATAGTGCCCAAAAATTGAACTTGTCTCCTTCTGCAGTACCAGGTAAATCCAGGTAATATCAGGTTACCTGACAGCAGGAGGCACTGTGGCTTAGCTGGTCAAAGCGCCTGTCTAGTAAACAGGAGATCCTGGGTTCAAATCCCAGCAGTCCCTTCCTGTTACCATTTGAAACCATCTTCTTCACAGTGTTGATTGCATTCGGGAAATCTTTCAAAGTCTGTGTATGTCCTCAGCAATGTTGCCTCTAATTTTTCATGTGTCTGAGCGAACACACAAACTCCCTGAGCGATCCCTTTGACCACTGTGAGCGACATCAGACTTGTGCACTGTGGTCACACCAGCATCTAATCCATCCAAGTTACATGGTTTATTAAAATAATCAAATTATAGCATTTACATTTATGTTAGACTACTTTTAATTAACTGCTTTAACCCTCTTACAATGAAAACTTAAAAAATTCTAGTCATTGACCTGTGTAGTATGTTAACACTATTGGAAGTAAAAATAACTTGAACTCCAATTTTGAAAACACAACTTAATTCTTTTTTAAAAATTTTATAAAGCTCTGACTTGTATTATAAGTCTGTGGTCTGGGAGAGAGTCCTGTAACTCTCTGTCTGCAAAATACAGTAAATAATGACCAATGTTGGGCAATTAATTATATAGTTACTTCTTCAAAAAAGTAACTGAGTTATGCAAATAAACAAAGTTTTTTGCAGCTATTTTTTTAAACGCAGCCAAGGCGTTTTTTTAAATAAACATTTTAAACTATTTACAGAACAATCAGCTGTTCTGCATCAAATCTGATGCCACACAAATTATTTGTGCCGCTCCAAAAAATAATTTCTGTCCACTATGAGATGAAGGAGAACAACAGCCTGATCCCTGCAGGCCTGACAACAGGAGATGTATCACTGCTGTAACACCTGTAACATTCAGCAGTCGCCTCATTGTTCTGACACACACAACAAAACTATTGACTACACTACACACTAACTACACAAGATTTTGGCTAAACATCGCAAATCTCTCACATCTCAAAACACCGCCGTCACTCCTAAAACTTCCCCCTCCCTTAACAACTAGATGCCACGTTGCCATATCATTTTTTGATTGGTCGAATGGTACTTTTTTGGACGAATAGGAAAGGGAGAGGGGGGTGGAGTTTGTCTTTGCTCACAGGCTTTCAAGCCTTTTTTCTTATGAAACGCCGTTTTTACCGTTTCTTCCCGCAGTAAATAACGATAGTATTCAGGAAGAAAAACAAACATTGCAGATATTTTTATCATAACTCTGGTTTTACGTGGCCAATCAACACAATTTAAAAACTGGTATAAAGTCAACACTTTTACACTTTTTCCGTCAATTGTTCCGTCTGTCCTGCTCACATCTCCAATGGTTGTACACGTTGTCATTAACGTGGCTTCACTCCACATCAGCCACGCCGCTTTGCTAGCTAAAACACCGGTGTCGGCACATAAAGACACTGTCATAGCCTGTCAATGACGTCGATTAGATGTGTAATGTGAATCGCATTATTGGCTGGACTATGGGATAAGGTGGCATCGTTCTAATCCCATACGGGAGCAGCTAGTCACTCACTGACTAACACTGCAAAACAGAAGTTTTAAATTCAATTCAGGTTAGATTTTTTTTGTGCGCAACGCAGATTTTCTGTGCGCAGAGACCGTGCCAGCAGTGAGCAATTGTGCACGTGCGCAGCTTAGAGGGAACATTGGTCATCAGTTATCCACCTCACGGTACTCTTGAGAGCTTTAAAAACTTCTTTTCACATCGTGATCCAAGAAGCTTCTTCAGTTCTAGAACAAATGCTGGAGGGTCCCAGGCATTAAACCGCTAGTGGAGCTTCTGAGGGTTGTTCACCCAATATTGATGTCTTGGGCGTGTCTAAATCTTCATTGTGTCCTCTTCTTGGAAACGAAGGAGAGAAAGCATAACTCCCAATGCTTCCCGCCATCAGCACTCGTTAATGAAATGTAATGGCATTGGTAGGGAGGTAAGGGACTGCTGGGATTTGAACCCAGGATCTCCTGTTTACGAGACAGGCGCTTTGGCCAGCTAAGCCACAGCGCCTTGAGCTGTGTGCCTCTGGCTACTGTCCAACAGCTGGTGGGGAAAAATGTGACGAACCGATTCAAACCTGTGTCTGCAGAGGTTACTTGGTTTTTCCCTTCCCTGAAGGAGGCACTGTAGCTTAGCCTGTCAAAGCACCTGTCTTGTAAACAGGAGATCCTGGGTTCAAATCCCAGCAGTGCCTGTTGAGCTATTTCAAAATAAGAAGTTCTGTGTAGGCAACTTTTCCTCAATGTCAAAATAAAAGAAAATAAGGCGTTGAATCTCAAGTTTGGAGGCACTAAAGATTTAGCAAAGGGCACCACATGCAGATGAAAAACAATCAAAACTGAAAGTGTACTCAAACATGAAACTGCGTAACTGTAACAACAGACATAAATGGACCAGTATAGAAACTGGGTGAGGCAGGGTCATATTGAGCTTTCGTCCCAAAAGTACTGTCAAGATTCTGCAAATCATTTGATTTACTGATAAGAGAAGGTAAGACTGTTAGGTGTTGTGTTAAAATAAATGCCCAAGTGTTCTCTATTACAGTTTTTTCTGATTGCTTAAGCACATTTTTTGTAACTATTGGCTAATTTTGCAAAACTCTGCACACAAATAAGAAAACCTGTCACCCAATAATCAAAACATTGTAGTTCTCTTGCAAAAGCAAACACAGCTAGATTAACTCTTCACACCTTCGTAAAAATGGTGTTTCCGTATCAAACAGTACACACAAGCCATCATCTACTAAGCACACAATGCGCCAACTGCACACTTATGGTATGAATACAAAACAAATCTGGCTTTTGCTTTCTCTGTGCACAAGGTAGGCTCATACTTGAGCTCATACTTCTGTCATAGATCCATAAGCATAGAGGGATCCAAACTTCAAGTACTGGTGTTTATTCACACACATCAAAACAAACACAAGTGTTTATTTCCAAGTATAGGATTATTTGCAATCGCCATAATGACTATATGGGTTACTTGGTCTGCAGTGAACATGCTTCCTCTGCCCCCAGCATCTGGTCATCTAGCAATTCTGTAAAGTAACAATTTCAGTATTCTTACATCAATGGTATTGGTGTGTTTCTCATTGGCATATGGCAGTGCTACAAATCTTAGTGCAAAGTGACTGTACTAACCGATTCTCATTTCAAGATGTCCTTATGGTACTTGCTACAGTGGGTCCACTGTAGGCTGGACCAATTGGCCAGCTACCCTCAGGGTCATTCCACGGTTGATTACATGGTCCACTATTGTAGCTCTGATGTGATCAGCAATTCTATTTCTTACTCTTCCTACCCTTCCTCTCCCCCCTCCTCATCTTCCTCTCCCCCCTCCTCGTCTTCCTCTTGCTCCTCCTTGTCCTTGTCGTCCTCTTCATCCTACTTCTCCACCTCCACGTCCTCTTCCTCGGCCTCCTCTACTTCTCACTCTTTCTGCTTCCTCCATTGTACTCCGCAAACACAGCTTACCTGTATTATAGTGCTTAGGCTGATTGCAAAGTGAACTAATTATCTAAAAAAGTTTTCACATATGAAAGTGTGCCAGACAGTTGGCAAATTGGTGTTAATGATAGCCATACATGTGTATACTTTTGCAAGGAGTGTGTTGGAAATTTGGTAATTGAGTGTTGTGCAGTGAATTGTGCCTACAGTTTTGCAAAGTGTCTGTTACAAAATTGCAAACTGAGTGCAGAGCAGTTTTTGTGCGTTTAGTTTTGCAAACTCAGTGAGTGGTTTTGCTATAAGTCTGGATAGTTTTAGAGATTGTGCTACAGGAATCACAGTTAGGGTTTAAGCATTCAGAAAAAACTGTAAAAACAGCATAAGGAGGTGTTCTACTGTTCTTGTTTCCTCTTATGTTATGGAAAAGTGTATAGGCAGCAGGAATTTGAGTCAGGTCTCGGTTTTTCTTGATGATGTCACTCCTTTCTCAGCTACACTTGAGAACCATGAGGAACGATCGCTGAAGGTCCTCCATAGGATGAAAGAATTTACTTTAAAGCTGTCGCCAGAGAAATGTCAGTTCTTCAGGACATCTGTCCAATATCTCGGCTATGTTGTATCATCAGAAGGGGTCAAAACAGATCCAGCTGCCCTCACTACCTGGCCAAGACCAGCTAAGATCAAGTAGCTTAAGTCTTTCCTTGGGTTCACTGGATATTACAGGAGGTTTATAAAAGACTATTCCAAGCTTGCAATACCCCTTAATCACTTAAGTGCTGGTTGCCTCCCACTGAAGAGAAAATCCAGTCTGTCGGGCAGAAACCACAAGGTTTCT